TAGAAATGTTATAATAATAATAATAACAACAACAACAACAACAATGGCTGCGATGAATTTTCATCATAAAAATGACTGCATTGTCAAAGTTATTTTTTTTATTTCAGATGTTACCAATTTCAATACAGGGAAAAACCTTATAAGAATGGCAAAGACAATCAAATGCTTTTATCTGAAAAGGAAAAAAAAGCCAAAGATTAGATTCAAAGTTTTACAGGACCAAAAAAAGAGAGGAGGCCTCGCAGTACCTAACATTAAACTATATTATTATGCAGCTGGCCTAGTCTGGATTACAGATTGGATGTTTAATTTTAATGAAAGATTACTGAAATTGGTGATAGCAGATCCTGAAGAAGGAATACATAATCAATTACGGACCAAAGAATCCTTTTTAAAAAGCACTGATCCTAAATAACAGCCATGTATTTAGGGATGGCCTAATAAACATTGACAGCCAATGAAAAGAAGAATTAGCCCTCCAACCTCTTCTTTTATTTTTCCAATATAAGTATACTATAGAAAAGTTTGAGAAAAAATAATCTTATAACATATGGAGACATGATTGACCAATTAAGTCCTGGCAAGAATTAAAAGATGAAGGACAAAATATAGAATGGTTCCTCTATCACCAATTGGTCTCAAGATTAAAAAAGGAAACTCAAACAGGAAAAAGCATAATAAGGAATCTCATTGATTTTGAAATTATAATTAAATGTCAAACAGATCACCTCCTAGGAAGAATTTATAAACTAATGCTTAAACATGGTACTGAAACTCAACAAGGTAAAATATGTATGCAGAGTTAGATGCAGAATTTTGAAGAAATACAATCTCATCAATGGAAAGCCTTATGAACGAAAGATACAGAATCCATTGCAAGCCAAGAGAAAACATAGTTTGCTGTAGACTTATTTTCAGTGGTACATTACCCCAAAAGATATACAGAAAATCAATAAGAACTATAATAGAAAATGTCAGAAACATAAAGAGACTTTCTACCATATGAGGTGGACATGTTATAGAATTAAAAGTTTCTGGAAACAGATACACATGGAAATGCAGAAAATACTTAAAAATGACTTTCCAATGAATTGTTGGTGTCCCTGCTAGCCAGGTGACTTACAGACCCACTAAACCGAGTGCCAATGAGGTTCAGCCAGGCAGAGATTCATTCAGTTTCTTTATTCAGCTGAGCAAAGCCACCACGCAGGCAGGCAGCAACACACACACATTCCTGCTTTTTCCTCTTTTTCCACTTAATCTCACCCCCATTGTTCCCTCACCCAATCCCCTCTCAGGGTCTGCCTGACCCTTTACCCCATCCCTTGCGGGGTCTGCATGTCCACTGCATGCCTGGCCTCGTGCAGGCCCCTTATCTACATTCAATACCCTCACGGGGGAGCGTGATCACTGCGTGCCAGTCCTTGCTTGGGGGTCTTTCTATACTCACTGCCTCTTTATCAACATTCTTTTGCCTCCGCATTTTCCCTCTCCAAAGCAAGCAGTTATACAAAAAGCAAATGGCGTTAGTTAAGCTAATCAGGCTCCATCAGAATGCCAGGAATATGCTATTGAATATTGTACCAAAGACTGTCCCAAAAATTATGGCAGAGTTATTTAAATACATGACAACAGCACCAAGAGTAATAATTGCTTCAAAGTGGAAAGCTGAAGAGTGTCCACCTGTTGTAGATTGGAAAGACAAGTTAGCTGACTATGCAACAATGGTGAAATTAACTAGTCACATAAGCAGAAGGCCAGTCAATGAATTTACTCAAAGATGGAAAGTTTATCATGAACAATTTAAGTAACTGTTAAAGAAAATGTAGTTTTTATAAATGTCAGTAATTTCTAAAGTCAAAACAATGATTTAATTCATAGCTAATTCTGTAAACTGAACAAATTTTGATTGAGAATTGAATTGTTTTGATGGGATTATGACTGATTTTCGCTTTTTAAAAAAATGTGTTTAAATTTTGATGTCACATACTAGATTTGTGGATTGACCCTTGGCACCTTCCTTTTCTGTATTTCTTTCTCTTTCTTATTCTATTTTGTGAAAATAAATTTCAAAAGATTTTAAGAAAAGAAGAAGAAAGGTTACAAGTGTTAGGAGACACCTCAGGGACATCTCAAAGGTTATCCTACCTGGACCTTTACAGAACCAAAATTGTTTTCCTGCTGGCTCCCTAAATAAGGATCCACCCAGGGGGAAACCAATTAGTTAAATTAATTCAACTCATGATCCATCCTTAGCATCTGTTGATTGACTGACCAAAGTCAGCTCAAGCAGAGATCTCTTCACTGAGGCTGATAGGAATGAAAGCAGCAAAGCACACCTGTGCCTTTCTACCAAAGGAGAACTAATGCTCACTGACAGCTTCAGTGCTCTTGAGAAAAGAAGGCAATTATTGCTGAGGTTGTCCATCCTGAAAGAGATCAATAAATAAGCTTGGTCAGGGCTTATTCTTAATGGAGCGATCTGTGGTGACTGCCCTGAAGAATCTACTTGCTACAGAGAAAGGGGCTAGCGCAGCGGACTGTGGTTTGAGTTTACATAGTTTGCTTGGATGAGTTGATCCATTTAAAAGTTGGGATAGTGACCACTTACCCATTTTCCTTAAGTTCAAAACTAGATCTATGGCAATTCACCTGACAGGTAAGTTAGGAATAGTTAATATATTTGATGATGATCACAAAAAAGTTAGATGGTTCAGCAAGTTAAATTAGAGAAATGCTAACTTGCTTAGTTCTGGCAGAGCCATTGAATGCTACAGCAAAATAATTGCCATGAAGTCATCTGAAGTGGTTACCAAAACATATAAAAATTTAGTCCTAAAATGTCTTGCTTGCTGTCACCTGCAGATTGACAGGTATACTCACTTGAGTGTACCTTACTCTGCAGGGTCAGATTCTTTAGTAACCCCCAAAACTCACTTCATGGCAGCCACTCTCACTCCAAGAAATAAAAAATTAGGCACTTCGTTTAAACATGGGAAGAATTCTTCTGAGATAGACTATATCCTGTAGAACTCATAAAAAATAGTACAGATTGGTGTGTTCCAGTTTTGGGTGCACTTTTTACATCTATTGGTCAGTTCTGCACACATAATCCCAGACTGGTGCCTGGCCATCATCATCCCGATATATCAAAAGGGATGCAAGGATGATCCTTCTAATTATTGTCCATTTTGCTTAGCAAGTAAAGTAAGCTCTGTGCCAGGCATTTGTGTTGGAAACCGTAGGAATGGCTTGACAGTGAGAATGCATTAGTTGAGAAACAAGCTGGCTTTAGGTCGGCCCACTCCACCATTGATCGCTTGGGAAGGCTCTCCCAATGGAAGACGATGGGTTGGATCTTGGGAAGACCACGTGTGAAGGTCTCTTGATTGGACTGGGAAGTTTCTAGAAGCTATAGAGGGAGGGTTTTTCACACAGAGGATCCAGAAGGCAACAAGGGGTGTGGGATGTCCTTTACTTGGTCTTGACCAACAGGGAGAAGCTGATAGATGGGGGTGCAGATTAGGGGAGCTCTGGATGCGAGTGATCACTCCATCCTTTGCTTTGAGATCAGGGGAATTGGGATGAGTGGCAGGACAAGTATTAGAAGCTGGGACTTCACAAGGGCCAACTTTTGTCAATTGAAGGCCAGACTGGGGAAAGTCTTGTGGGAGAGGACAGAAAGTCTCGTACTGAAAGACAAGGGAGTTGAGGAGGGCTGCATGGGAGGCCTTTTCAGCATCAAGGAGCAGTTCAGAATAAACTAGCAAAGGGGCACAATTTTGGTCTTTTTGAACAGATACATCCCGTAAATAGAGGATCAGTGCCCATGACACTGAGCAGGTCAAGACTGGTAAATATTTGGAGTAGGATTTCAAGCATCTGGTCTTTAGAGAGCTCAAATAATGCATCTTACCATGCAAGATGTAAAACAAACAAACAAACATTTTCTGCCATCCATCTGCCATTTTTTTCTTGAAAGCATGCTCTCAAATTTTCATGGCAATTAAAATTTTTAGACTAAGGTAATGGCTCAATTACTTTATGAACCTCAGCAATGTATATATAAACACTTCTTTCCCTTGGAGGCAATTCAGTCTAAATTTTTGTGATCTATTGTTGGTATATTGGGTTGCCTGAACCTTATCATGGGATTTCACCAGGGTAAGTTTAGAAATGACTACACGAAACAGTACTTTGTTCTATGCTTTCTTTGTACCCCCATGGCTTCCCATGTTGTCTGAACGAAGAATCATGATTTCCATAGTATGTAACTTCAGGAGCCACTCCAGCCCCCCACCTCTATGTCTGGACCAATGAGGAAGAAGCAGGAGCCACAAGCAAGGACCAGTGCAGCTTTCAGGTGCAGTGGCTGATGCCAACCATGGGAGGATGGAAACCAGGATAAAGTAGAAACCACTTGATTGTCTGCCATGGTTAAAAAATGCAAACCATGGTATCCATGAAGGGTTGCTTGTTGTGTTGTGTGAAGCCATAAACTGAGACTTACAAAAGCACTAGAAATCTGAGGCATTCATGGGAATGGGGTATCTCCACCATCTCCAGTTCCAAGGACCTGGGAAGAGACCTCTTCATGGAACTCTGGACAGCCACATTCAATTGTGCTGAGCTAGAGGATCCATGTTCTGAACTGGGATAAGGCAGCTTCAGATGCCCTTGCCCTGAGGTAGCTTGAGAGGCAGGACTGGGGTGGACATCGCCTCCCTCTGTACCATAGGGGATGAGAAAACAATGACAGCCAAATGCCAAGGAAACACGGGGAAGAACAGCAGGACACCCCCTCCTGTTAACAGACATGATAGGTATAAGCCAACATGGGATATACGTAGCTTGAAAATAAGCTGCCATGCAACCAGAAGGGCTTCACCAAAACCATGCAAGACTTTAAAAGGGTTGAAAAGCAATTAGGAAAAAACAAAACAGAGATTCCACCTGCAGGGCAGAATCCAGCCCAGGCATTCATCAACTGTGTTCAGACAAAACAATAATCCACAATAGCTCACGGGCTGTTTTGAACTGTGGGCTATTGTTGAAAAGTGGGCAAAAGTATTGTCTGAATTCAGCTGTGCTCATAAATCATGGCTTGTTATCCATAAACAACCCTTGTTATCCATAAACAACCCTTGAAGAGAACCCATGGGTCATTCTTGTGAATTGTGGTTGAGTTGTGAACTGGAAAAAGACCACAAAAAACCCTCCAACCTCTGTTCTTTACATTTTTTAATCCCACAATCCTAACAGGACTGCTCAGGCTTGATGTACTGGCTGGTGAGTATTCGGTCAGTCAGCCAAGTTGGCATATAGCTCAGAGGAATATAAATGAGCTTGGCGTCCCAGCCAGCTGTGTAGCGAAACCGAGGGTAAACGGCAGTCAGGGCATGTACCATGCAGTTGGAAACCAGAGAGAGATCGGGACTGCAGTGCCTTTGCATTTTAGAGGTTGCCTCAATTACTACAAAGGAAGACAAAAATGGTGGGGGGAGGGGAGAAAGGGGGGAGGGGAGAAAGGGGGGGAGGGAGAGAGAAAACACAGGACAAATTAGCCTTCACAGCAGGTGTGAATTCATTCAACAGCAGCCCTCTTTTCTTCAGGTGCGCAAACTGTCCTCCCCATGTGCATTTCTGTGTACCTGCAGGCAGCTATGAGAGGCAAGCAGAGTCTTTGACTTCCATCTAAAAAAGTAGCTATTTGACACAATAGGTTGGTGTGCAGACAAAGTGTCCTCCCCTCCCACTCAAGCAGTCAGGGCTCTTTGCAGAGGAAGGTACTCGCTTGCTGCTGCTGCCCAGGTTGCTCTGGCCAGAGAGTGTATCTTGCCCAGCACAGCTGGCAGGGGAGCATCTCAATATCTCCCATCCAGGCACTGCCTTCGAGCACAGCTATGCCGCGGTACTACTCCCAGTCCCTTCACTGGGCCTGGCACAACCTTCCGCAACAAGGCACCTGCCAGAAGTCCTTGGACTAGAACACCCATCCACCCCTCGACAGCATGGGGATGATGGAAGCTGCAGTCTCAACACAGCTGGAGGGCGCCATACTGAGGAAAGCTGGGTACAGCAACTCAACTTTACCAGAGCACCTTGCTTTGTTCCTTACAGCTCACTTTCTAAGGGCTTTTCCAAAGAGGAGATTTCAAGAGGATTTCAAGAAGTCCACATCCTAGGCACCTCTGCTGCCTACCATTCATGTACACTGGCAACTCCATCCCTCATGGTGTCTCCACTAGGCCTTAAGGGCGCACAGATTTATTTTTTATTTATTTTTGATGGTGATTATTATTTTCACTGCTATACTGTCTGTAGCTGAATCTCTCTGGGCAGTTTACAACAAAGTATTAAAACAATAATATGCAATAGATAAAACTGTAAGAATTAAAAATTAACTTAAAAGAACATAAAAGAACATTAGAAGACAATTAAAAAGACCCAGTCAGGAGTAAAAGGCACCTGGCTAATTGTATCAGTCCCCTGAACGACCAGGGAGGTCTTTAAAGGCCTCTACAAAGAGGGCTGTCTTAACCTGGTGCTGAAAAGATGGCAAACTTGGCACCAGGCGGGCCACAACCAGGAAGTTATGCCAAAAACAATATTTTTATTACCAATGGTAGTATTTGTACTCTTTTTGTTATGCTGCTGTTATTGTGATTTACTGCCTTGGATACTTTTTTGGAAAGACAGGATAACATATTCAGAACAGATAAATAAAAATTGTTCTGCTGGATCTGTTGGATTTGGATGACTTATTCGGAGCAATATGCTTATTCCTGGAGTCCCAAGATTGGATCCAGATTTGCCTTCTGCAAGAAAAAGAGCTCTGCTTGTGGAAGGTCTCTCTGCCTGATGGTTTGGGATCCTCCTTCTTTGCCTGCACGCCACAGCTCACTCCATTCCACAGAGTCCCCCAATTCTCCGTGAAACATTTCCAAGGGGCTTTCATTTTCAATTTGCATGCAGAACTGGTAATGACTGGCTGCAGGATACAGAAAAAATCAGCCCTCCCACACCTCTTGCTGGCAATTCGCACTCAGGCAGTTGGTTGTTGGAGATCTGAGTTGCCGAGGCCCTCCAATGGGCTGATCCTCACTCCCAGGGGGAGATGATGATGATGATGATGATGATGATGCATCTGTAGCACTAGGCTTGATGCTCCATAGTAGCCACAATGCCAAAAGGGTCAAAAATAGCTTACAAACAAGCAAAATTGGACCATTTCATATATTGATTACATTTTTATACTACCTATAGCCAAAGCTCTCCTGGCAGTTCACAACAATTCAAAAGATTGTAAAACATAAAATACAGTATAAAATAGTCCAAACAGCAGTATAAAACAGAAGGGAATCTCTAGCAGCAGTACAAAAATTTAAAATACAATAAATAATTTAAAATAATGTGAAACTAAAATTCCTGGGCAAATTCCTGGGAACATAAAAAGGGCTTCACCTGGCACCAATAAGGACAATGTAGGTGCCAGCAGGGCTTCTCTGGCAAGTTCATTCTACATTTGGGGTGACACAACAAAAAATAGCATCTCCCTTGTAGCCCCCCACCTCACTTCTCTTAGCAGGTGCCCCCTCAGAAGGACCGCTAAAGGTGATCCTAGGGTCTGGGCAGGTATACATGGGAGGAAACAATACTTCAGGTAACCATGGAGTTACAGACGCAATGTTTTCCATAAACCTGACCCTGTATTTGGAGGGCACTAGGGGCTGGTACATGTAGCACACACACTGTCCGCTCCTCCTTCACATGAGCATAAGCAGTGATGTGCAATTTCCATCTAATGCAGAATTATGTTTGTTTTCAGAGTATGCACACCTTTTAAGGCTTACCTGAATGCAAGTCCTATCTGACATAGGAGAACATACTTCCAAGTAAACACATAGGATCAGGTCACTTTTGCCTTGGGATGCCCTGTTCGCAGCTGCAATAGGAATACCAACAGTGCAATAGAACATCTGGACATTTCTGAATTCACCCTCAAGAGGCACTCACTTTTTTGCAAGAAAGACTTCCCATAGAACTGCTTGGTCTCCTCTGGGAGCCGCTCCCAGAGGCAGTTGAAGTTGTTGTGCATGATCCTCTCGTTTGTGATGTTAGTTTGGAAATAGCCCGGTTCTATTATGCACACCTTCACACCACAGTTAAGGGTTTCAAGCCTGAAAAGACAAGGAAGGGCAGGATCCTGTAACACAGCCCTTAGAATGCAAGACCAAGTGGCCACCCAGAGCCTGCATCCAGTTACTATCCAAAGGTCCCCTCTCTTGATTGGGAGGTGCTATTGTGTTGATAGCCACTGATACGCCAAATCTTTCATGTAATCTTTCATCCAGTTCACTGGAGAGTGTAGAAGTAGCACAGCCCTTTAAATATTAGATCGCCAGTGCCGATCAGTGCAAGGAGAACAAAATTATGGTTTAAAAAATCAAGGAGTGGATGATGGAACAAATGGCACTTGACAATCTATGAAACCCAGAAGGAATGAATTTAACAAAATCTGACATCCCTACCTGGGAGTGAATCTAAATGAAGACAATGTGACTTACTCCTGAGGAGTCATGCATAGGATTGGGCTGTAGGATTGGACTACAGCAGTATTTTAATGAATGGAAAGCTACGTGTATTGGATTAATAATTACAATAATATTAATTGTACTTATTATTATAAATAATTGTAATACTACTACAAGAGTTTAATAATGTTAATTTCCTACACAGAGGAAGTTATTGGAAAAGCACCAACTGTGTTCTGCAGGTCAAAAGCCCAACTTATATATTGGTTGCAAGACTGAAAATGGAAATCCTGTCAGGGAAAGGTAAGATGGAATTTGAAAAGCTGATTATGCAACTAAAGGATAATTTGTTAGGATGATTTTACAAGCATTTACTCCAATCTGATACTGAAACTCAGCAAGGTAAAAAAAAAAAGGTATGATAATTTGGATGCAGAACTTTGGGGAAGAAATATCATCCTGCCAGTGAGAAGCTTTATGGAAGAAGGACATTAAATAAAGTGAAGCATTAAGAAAAAATTGGTATAAGATTTTTTGGTGGCACATTATTCTGAAAGATACAGAAGAAATAGACAAGAATTATAATGGGAAATGTTGGAAATGTAAAGAAGTAGATGAGACTTCCTACCATATGTGGTAGATATGTGCTAAAATTAAAAGGTTTTAGAAGCTGATACATGCAGAAATGCAAAAAAAAATGTTTAACGTTAACTTTTCTGAGAATGCTATGAATATGCTTTTGAATATTATGTCACAGACTTTTTCAAAGACTATATCAGCGTTATTTAAATATATGACAACTGCAACATGAATTACGATTGCATTTAGATGGAAAACAGCAGAGTATGCTCCAGCAACTGAAGACTGGAAAAATAAGTTGGCTGAGTATGCAGTGATGGAAAAATCAACTAATTACCTAAACAGCCAACTGAAGAATATAATGATAAATGGAAATTATTTTATTTGCCATTTAATATAGAACAAAAGGAAGCTCGTAAAAATATTGATTATTTATACTTGACTTGAAGTGATTGGAAAACTTACTGGTTTAAAGAACTACCATTATCTTTTTTGTGAGCTTCAGCAAAGTACCAATTGACAGAAAGGTAGAAATTTTTGGTTTCCTTTCAATTTGCAGGTTATGCATTTGTATATTTGTGTAAGATCCTTTGGCATTCTTTTACTTTTTTTCTTTTCTGTATTTCAATTCTTTTAAGAAAACAATAATATACTTCATTTTTAAAAGCCCGTGTCATGGAAGTTTTTAAGCTATACATACATTTAGTTGCTGTCTAGAAATGACCATAAGAACAAAAGAAAAGTCCTGCTGGACAAGGGCAGGGGTCCCATCTAGTCCAGCCTTCTGTTTGCTCCGTGGCCAACCACAGGACCCCACAAACAGGGCGTGAGCACAACAACACCCTCCTGCTCAAACTCCCCAACAGCAGCACCATTCCCCAGCATGGTGTACATAAGCACACTGCCCCAGCATGGTGTACATAAGCACACTGGAGGTAACATAACACTATCAGGGCTAATAGCCACTGAGCGCCCTCTCCTCCATGAATTTTGCCCACTGTTGTATGGCGCGATTTTACAGATGAGACTAGAGGCTGGTTGGAATTATCGAGAGGGATTTATTTACCTGCCGGCAGGGACCATGCACTCGTGAGAGTGTGGTGCTGAGCAGATTGAAGGCAGGATTTTTATACTCTTTTACACCGACGGCTATGCAGGTGCTTGAATAACAGCGAACAATAGGGGAAATCCACTGAGCTACATTCGCACACATTTTTTTATGCTAAAGCAAGCAAGCGAGGGTACAGGGCGTGACGTTATGCTAGAGCGTAGCAACAAAGGCTGCTTTGTGGTCAGCCTTGCATAGCGTGCACATTCGTTGGGGTTCTTGTTCTTACACGAACAGGACACTCTGATCATGCTTCTTACCTGTGACGAGCCATGCCCTAGCTGCATGTTCGATGAAGAGCGGGGTTACAACACCCACCCCCTTGGAAGCCATCTGATCCGGTGGAAGTGAATTCCACAGTCCAAATGCATCGGCTCCCAAACATGTTTCCAATGCTAAGCCTCTGGCAAAACAGCATGGTAGGCATGGTAGGGAGGTGCCCTCCCTATTTTTTGGACCACAACTCTCTACACAAGCACCACCAGGTGTATGCTGCAAGCATCACTGGAAGCATTTCCATCACCCCGGAGCTGGATTTTATATAGCATTGTTGAGGACACTTACTTTTGAGGTATTTTGTAGTATTTGCACAAAGAATCCCTTTAAGAAAGCATCTTGTTGCACACAAAAGAGTTGTCACTTATATGGGAAGGAAGGCACACACTCGCAGAGGTTACCTGAGACAGTCAGAGAAGGCCTCCACACCATATTTGGAAGGACAATAGCCACCACCAAACATAGACAGTCGTCCCATTACACTGGCAACATTGACGATCCTTCCCTTGGCTCTTCTCACCAAAGGCAGCATGTGTATGGTCACATCTATCAACCCAAGAAGGTTGATGTCCAGGATTTTCCTAAAATCCTCCTTGGTCAACCAGTCAGTGGGGGCCACAGGAACCGAAATACCAGCATTGTTCACCAATCCCCACAGTCCTGTCAGAAAAAGAAGGGGAAAGATCAGGAATACGAGAAGACACAGCACCTTCTTGAGCACTCCCTCCTTAAAACACAGCCTGATCTACAAATGCTGAAGAACTGACATGGTCCAAAATATTTTGGTGCCAGGTGGGGAGGGGGAATGGCACTGCATATGGAGCTATAATGATAAGCAGACTATGCGGCTATTCGAATAGCACCTTGGAATAGCACCCCTTTTCTTTTTTAGTGCCTCAATCCTGAAGCTCCCTGGAACTTTGTAAAGTCATGAGGGGACGGTGGGTCAGCTCTGCTCAGCATGAGAACAAAACGAAGCTGACTGGATGATCTTGGGCCTGTTGCCATCTCTCAGTCTAACTCACAGGGCTGCTGTGAGGATAAACATTTATACTGAAGTTATAACCCTGTATCTGCCCTGAGCTCACTCGAGAAGAAGCAAGATATACAGAGAATTATTCCCTGTGATACCAAATCTGGGTGCTTGAGTTCCTATCAATATGAAAGTGAAACAGGGCCACTCAAAGGTAAGTTTCTATGCATTTAGGGGGACTCCTTAGCTCAGCCTTCCCCAACCTGTTGTCCTCCAGATGTTTTGGACTTCATTTCCCATCAGCTTCAGCCAGCATGGCCAATTGTCAGGAATGCTGGAAGATGTAACCTAAAGCACTGTCAACACACCTAGAGAAATACATTTTATTTCTTATTTCTTTCTGCATTTAAAAAATATATCAGAAGGGCATCAGGTTGGGTAAGTCTGTCTTAAGTGTATTAATTTAATTTCATTCATTGCATGTACACACTGTGCAAGAGCTGAAGCTCATAAAACTTCTCAGAATATGCACAGGACTCTGCCCGAAAGATCCCCTGAAAAGCCCTAAAAAGCCCTTGTCCTCAAAGGGAGGAACTGAGTTTTAGGAGCTGCATTCCAGTGGCGGGTGAGCCCACAAATTCCAGCATATCCTGGCTTAACACCCAAGTAACTTTGTTGCCTTTGGAGGGACATCTCAATCTTACAGAACAGGGAACATGTTCAAAATCTGGGAAATAACCAAGCAAGCACCAGCTGAGGGAAAGCAGTATGGCTATTTGGGGAACCGCGGAGAGCCCAATTTGGCCCCTGGGCCAGAGTTTCAACACCCCTGCTGCACATTCTGCCCTGACCTTTGTCTCCCACATGGCTTTTCACCCATTCGGTGGCTTTGGCCACACTTTCCGTGCTGGTGACATCCAACAGAGTGGTCTGCAGCCGTTCTGATGTAGCCGCTCTAAGCTTCTCTGCACCCTGCTCGGTAAGACAGGCTGCCAGTACCCGAAGGCCCCTGTTGTCCAGTTGCCGGGCCAACAGATTGCCAAATCCAGAGTCACATCCAGTTATAAAGACATATTTCTCTGTCAGGTTGCTCACGATCTTTTTCTCACGGTACCATCGAAGCAGGAAATAGAGGCCCAACAAGACTGCCAGATAGAACCACATGGTCAAAGGCTGGAAAAGAAAGAAGTGGCTTTTCAAGCAGACTAAACTTGGCAAAGCTGATGTTTGTTTGTTTGTTTGTTTGTTTATTAAAACATTTCTATGCCGCCCCTTGCCGAGGCCTCGGGGCGGCTTACAACATCAAATAAAATACAAAATACATTAAAACAATAACAATTAAAATATATACAGTAAAATAAAATAAGCCGCCCTGGCCGAATAAAATTCAATAATATTAACATTTAAAATGCTGCTTAAATAAAAAGGTCTTCGCCTGGCGCCGACCAGTTTTAGCTTCCTGTATAGCAGTGGGAATAACAGCCTCCATTTGGTGCAAAGAGTCCAGTCATATTCAATCAGGCTGCACTTTCATATACATAAAACAGCCTAGAAGGAAAAGATTTGCCTTCTTCATTGACGTTGCCTACCATCCTTTTCTTTGGACACATCCTGCACACCTGACCCTGTGTCCATTGTGCAATGGACTTGCCGGCGCTGACTATCAAGGTCACCTTGATCAAACATCAGTGAACATGGCCTAACACTAGCTGGAGTTGTTGCCTCAAATCCACAGCACAAGGCACCCTACAGAAGGCCAGCAAAGTCTGTCTTGCTCTGTTAGAGCATAATGAAATGTCTGCATGTGATGACTGTGTTAATGCAAGATCCATTTTGGGAAAAGTATACAACTGTGGCTCTGCCATACCCACTCTGTGGGGCTTCTGTAAGGCAGCAAGTGGGCCCGAGTGGGCCTGAGACCTGTGTGGGATTTGCAGAGTGCCAAGCCCTAGCAGGGAGGGAATGGCTCTCACTCTTGTTCAGTGGGGCCCAAACCAGCCCTTTCTGAATCTGGGGATTCTGGTGAGGTGGAGAAGAGCAGCTGCGAAACAGCAGTGAAGCTACGGCAGGTGGGTCCAAATTAGTCTGTGGGGAGAGAAGAAGATCTGCTGGCTGGTGTGTGATGCTTGGCAAGGAGGAGGGGAAAATCAAAGTTATGGGTGTTCTTCCTCTGTGGGATAACCTTAGGTGGTTGGTGAAGGTCAGGGGCAGGGGACAGGGGGCTTCACTAGGCCAAGGGGCTGTCTTGGCAGGCAGCAAAAACCCAGAAAAACACTCAAACAGCCAGTAATACAATGAGAAGGGCTTGGGTGTCATAGGATACCTGTACCCAGAAGCTATATCTGGTTGTACAGGTATAGGCTGTGGTGGAGGTTTGAGGAATTTAGTTTGAGGCAAAAGACATCTTTGCAGGCCTGTAGCAGCTCTTGAGTCCTAAAGAACTGTCACTAAGCAGTCATTCAAAAACTTCAAAGTAAATATGAACAAAGGTGAGTGAGGAGGGTGGAAACCAGGCATAAAAACTGCTTGATAGTCTGTTAGGGACATCCAGGCAAAAAAACCTGTGCACTGGGGAAACTATGTAAGGTTGCTTGTCATGACATGTGAACATGGCCACTAAAGTAAAGCTTTTCTTTCCCACTATGGAAAAGAAGAACCATGGTAGAAAAAATATGTGTGAACCTAGGGTTTTCAGTATGGCACAATAGGTTGTTGTGTAACATTGCAACAAGCTATAAATCTTTACAACTGCCAGACAAAAAGATGTAGTCATTAACTTTCCATATCACATACAGAAAGTGTGGCCCTTTGAAATGTGCTAAAGTACAGCTTTCAATACCATTATACCCCACACACACACACACACACACAATGAAGGAAAATGCAGAATCAGTTGTATAGTATCTTTTGATCAGTACTGCTAGGAGCCAACTGTCTGGAAACACTCCGTTGTTTAGAGTCACATATTTATTTATTTATTTAAAACATTTCTATGCCGCCCCCATCGCAACAAAGCCTCGGGGTGGCTCAGGAAGCACAGTTGGGTAGAAAAAGAATGAAACAAAACAGAAAACTTGCTTTTAAAGTCAGCCTTGTTGTTGTTGTTCTTGGCCATTCAAGTCATAATTGATTTAAAATCAATCCATCTTGCAGCAGAATCCAGCACTCATAGGTATCCCTATTCCAACAGGAAAGGAGAAGCTGCATCTAGTTTCAATGGAGCCTCATGGGAAGGACCTGTTACAGGTTTCTTTGGTGGGATTCACATAGCCTATATGTGACTAGGGAAGGATCTCTTTGATGGGATTCACATTGGCAAGGCAACTGATTCAGGACATCATGAAAGGGTATCAAAATCAGGCAGAATGAGCTGGCTATCTCAGGCAGCTGATTTTGGGTATTATAGGAGAGCAGCATGCTGATAGTAAACTGAATTATTTTTTGCTGCCAGGCAGGAAGTGGAATTTGCAGCCTTGGATACCAAAATGTCTTTTTTTGGTTCATTTCCAGAGAGGAAGCCCTGTTAGCCTGCTGCCCCAAAAGCAAAGATGACTGCTGTTTTCCTTGGGTACAATGTGCCTCGAAAGAGGTCTGGCGGCATTTGCTGTCTCAGGGAGCGAAAGGTGTTGAGGCAACCTGTAGCACAGAAGAGTCACATTCATGTTCTTTCCCCACTTTGCCAAAGAGCACTTGCAATTTGTTTTTATTTTTAAATGGGAAAGTCAGTGAGTATTGTGGGTAGAACTGAAACCTGGGAAAGCTCACATGCAACTCTGCACTTGGCCAATCAATTCATGCGATGACTGTGTTATTCTCTCTATCTCTCTGCCTATCCGTTATATTGCAGGATCACTGTAGCAACGAAGTAGAGCCAACAGGGTGTACCAGGTGGTTAAGAGCACAGGACTGAGACTTGGGCAATCTGAGGTCTAGTCCCCACTTGGTCCTGGAGCCAACTTTGGGCCAGTCTCAGACTCTCATTCCGGTCTCCCCCACTGTGTTGTTGTTGTGGGGTAACACTGAGACCAAGAGAAGAATAGTGTGAACCACTTTGAGTTCATAAGGAAAAAGCATGATACAAATCCCATAAATAAATACAAGTAGGAAATTCCTACATGTCAAACTTGAGCTCCTTGGCGAAAACAATAGGACACAAAACAAATCACCTTTCATGCCTTCTTTCAGGCTTCCAAAATAATTTCAAGCACCTACTGAGAAACACCGGTCTGAGTTAGAGCGAAATGGCCAGTACTGACCCTGCAGTGCCAAAACCAGTTACCCCGTGAGTAACTGGGAAGTAGTAAGTCATCTGGACTTACTTCCGAGTAGACACGACTCAGAGGACCTCCTTGCCCAAGAAGCCTGCTTCTGAGCAGGCGTACACCGATTTGCGCTGCAAGCCAGTGGGGACTGAAAGAGACCCCCGGCTTTTCACGGTCAGGCCTTGCAAGGGCTGCGCTGCACGCGCTTGCCCGCTACTCTTGCTCTTAAACTCAGCCTTGCAAAGACGTCCGAGCCGCCCGCCGCACTCTTGGAGCTTTGTGCCCTTCCTCAATAGATGACCGCTGAACAGAAGAGTTAGAAGGCTAAGTATACAAGGCGCCCCCCTCCCCTTTCGCAAGAAAAATGGCACCTTTTGGCAGCTTTTACAATCGACACTATGAAAATGCAAAGGGTACCTCCAAGCTTTTCCCTGTCGAAGCAGCGCAGCTTCCGACGCTTGGCAAACCTCGCCTTCTGCCTGTTCCCTTTTTGCGCTCGCTTAGATATGATTAATGTTTTGAAACAAGGAGGAATCACACGGAAAGCGACACACACGCACGCACGCACAAGTCCCGCCCATCCCAGAGCTTGGAATAAAACATCAAACGCAGGAAGGCATTAGAGAAGAATAGAGTTGCCATCTTGAAAGACTCCCAAGGGGGGGAAAAAAAAAAAAGACATAGGAAAAAAAGGTTGAAACCAGTGAACTTTCTTTTCTGCACTGCAACTGGTTCGCTGTTAGGATCAGGGCGTGGATTTCTTTCAAAGAAACGTAGAAATGTTGGCGCTGTATTGGTTTAAATACAAGGGAGTAGCAAGTGAATTCACTTCCGCAGCGGGGTGAACCCTCTACAAAGTCTAAAGAGAAAAGCTCAACAACAGTATTTTAAAAAAGAAGAAAAATCGTTTTTCACCCTTCCCCCGCTTCATTATGCAATAGTTGCTCCCCTTCCTTGACAATTTTGCATGTCCCCTTTCTGCACTTTCTTTGCTACGTAGGTTTGAGGGCTTGCAGTGATAGAAAGTCTATACAAGAAACACCTGCTCTGAGGAAAGTTGAATAGATTGTTTTCTGTACAGACTAAAGAAAAACAAACGCCCCGTATAGCAGCTTAAAGATGGGGAATGGAGACTCCAGTGTGGAAAAGGGTAGCTGGAACTCATACTGACAAAATATATTTGCTTGATTCCAGTGGCTACTAACTAAGTCTTTGGTTTAGTATCCTATTTGGAGATGTTAACCTGACATGCTTGCATGTTACTGGGACATGCCAAAACTAGAATCCATGAAACGAAACACAGATCCTGCTGATTTCATATGATTTTTTAAAGAGGACTGTACCAAACTACAATCACAAAGCACATCTGCCTTTATGGAGTGGGGTATAAAATCATGGACTTGTAGACACTGTCATGGTGCAGAAATGGGGATCATCCTGATTTCATGACTTTTAAAGCACACATCTGCTGCCACAGGTTGAATTATAAAAATCATGTTTCTTGCATCTCTGGACGGTTCACAACCACAAGATAAAAACACAACAAAACATAATAAAAACCACAACACATTAAAAACAACAATAAAATATTAGCAAAAACTACAAAACAAAGGTCTTATGGCAATTAGTCATTATTAAAAAAAAAAAAAGGAAGGGAAAGGGTATCCCACACTTTTGTTTAAAAATTCAGAATTTATAACTGGGAATTTCAGAAACACCCCAGAACAAAATGTCTATTTTAAAGCAACAGTAAACTAAATCAATGGACAGAACAATGGCATGTCTAAAAGACAGTCTAGATAACCATAGAATTTTTTGGAGTCCCAGCGCCAACCTTGGAAATTTGTTCTGAAGTTGCATCTGTGGCTCCAAAGTTGGAGTGACCTCCCCACACTCAGCTGGTGCAGAAGGAACTGCAGCTGCAGAAATGCAACTCCAGGTCAATGAGTTTTGCATGCTTTGAAGGAGCAATGCCCACAGGATGCCCATCATCCTCCAGGTTAAAAGGGTTACAGGCAGCTTCAGTGGATTGCACCCTTATAGAATGAGCTGAAGCAAAGCAATATGGATTTAGAAAAATATGCTTAAGGGTCTCATTTTAGGGTGAAGCTACCAAGAAAAAAAAGGACATTGCTATTAATAATATAGAATGAAGATCAATGGAACTGTTGAACATGTGCAATTCAAAAACAACAGAGTAAAAGTTCAAAATTCAATAGTGAGAAAAACAGCAAGGGGTTATTGAACTATCAAAGCAAACTATACAAGGGGAGATAAGTAGCAAGGCAGAAGGCACAGACAGGGGAGTAGGGAAGCACACAGCTACATGTGCACACCCACTCTAGAAAAATTGCTGGAGAATTTAATTCTAATAACTTACAGCACAATCCCTTGCATGGCCACCTAGACCATGCTGGGTGTTGTAGGACTTTAGGAAAACACACTCAGTAATACAGTCTTAAGGATAAAGCTACTGGGAAAAATGCAGTGGAAACTGTCACAATAATAATGTAATGGTGATCAAAGTAGGAGTTGAAGCAAATGTAAGTCAACCAAAAATGTTTAATAAGAAGACAAAATAACAAGGCACAGACAAAATAAGGAAGTAGTAAAACACCCTCCCATGTATACATACCTGCACCAGAAAAACGGCATGAGAACTTCATTCCAATTACTTAGGGTGCAATCGCTTGCATGGCTGTATAAGATACTATAAAACTTTTTAAACATTTAACATCCTTAAAATTGTGACATTATTTTTTTCCTAACTAGAATGTGGGGGTGGGACTAATTAGTAACTTAAAAGACTGTCAGTCACAGATACTACAAGGAGAAATGTATGAAAGTATGAGAGAATAATTGAGTCGGAAAAGTGTTTGAATGAAATCCCAACCCCTCACCAAAAAGTTGAAGTAAAACTTTAATGTAGAAGCAAGTCACCCCACTCTGCCTCACCACAGAAACCTGATGCTAAAAACTGTGTGAGAACATAAATCACATTATTTCTTTTCCAGCTAAGGGGTAGGGGGAGTGGAACTGCAAACTAATTAGTTGCTTAGACAAATACCTACACTGCCACACCATGGAGAAATTCAAGTAGTTGTAGGAAAAATATGAAAGGAGATTGAGCTGCAAAATATTTTTGAATGAAATCCTAACAAATAACAAGGGAGGTCAAGTCTGAACCCAGAAGCAAGCAACCTTGCCCAATAACATATTTAACAAACACACACACAGCTTTTGGGTTTAACATGTTGACTGGGTCTGCATGACATGGTAACTTATATCTTGCTACCCACAATGGGTTCTCCGAGGAGTAATGTCAAGGGGGGTACTTTCTGGCATTTGCCAGCAGGTATCCCTCCTTGCACATTGCTCACCGAAGGCATCCCATTCCTGTACCCACACAACTGCAACCAGGACAAAATGTATTTCTCCAAATATTTGCAAAAAATTGTGGTATCAAAGTATGAAAGGTTTAGCAACTCCAGGCAAAATGTTGCTACTTGCAGGTGCCAAGCTGCTCTCAGGCGCCATCTGGTGGCCAGGACCAGGTCACCCCCCTCAGTATTTGCATAATTGGCCCCAGACCCTCTTGTAGCTTCAGCCTCCTGATGAGTGCCAACTGGGAGCTCGGGGGAGGGGCAGGGGAGCTATATAACAGCAAGCACTTCCCTCCAGAACTTGCCTTAGCAACACAGGTCTTTCTGTTTTCTGTAGTATCTGCATCTTGTTTGCCATAGATCTTGCTTTGCTGTATGTATCCTGTCTTACTGTCTCACCTCAGTAATGCAGATCTTCGTGTGAGCTATGGTGTATTTCAGCTCCTACACCTTGCCTGACTCTTGCTACATGTGGTTCCTGCCGGGCTATGTGCTGTGTTGGGGCATTCAATGGTGCTCTGGAAGTGGTGTCTGGGGAGGGCACCCAAAATCAGACCGTGATGTCCAAAATTGGCCCGTGACACCCACTCCTGGGTCACGGCCCTGAAAGTGACTGAAATGGGCAGGTCAGCAGAATGCTTCCAAATTCACAGCATTTGCTTGGAGAGGTCCCCTGA